TATATCTGCTTTTGCTCTGTTTTATTGTGCAAAAGAATAGAAAATGAAATGTGTGTAATTACATTACCATGTATCGCTATCGGCCTTTGTAGAGATTAACAGTATTGGGATTTTTTCTTTACGTATCTGTCGTGAGTAAAAGATTAGAAAAATCGGTACCTTGGTTATTTTCCAATTTTAGAATATATTTAACGTTATCATTATCAAAGACTTGATAAAAAAGGACCCTTGTTTGTTATTGTCATTACAACCTGCCTGCATTAAACATACTCTTTTGTATTTGTACCATATCTTGTGTCTATGCGTGACTTTGCAATTATTTAATTTTCACAATTACCTTTACACGTTCATTTAAAACAAATGTGGGGCTTCTTTTATTCAAATCGTGGTTGCAAATTTTTTTCTTTTTTTATGACGTATATATACCCGATACATGATGATAACGACGACACGCTTTATCAGTCATCTGTATTTCAACCGGCACAAATTTTGAACTGATATATAAAACGCACCAATACGAGAATGATGACTATGCGGAAATTTGAAAACCTTTTTTTAATTACGGAATATTAAGCCCGCTGAAACAAGTGCTACACGTATTAAAAATCAAAGTGCTAAATGCACTGAATGCGACGGACATGGAAAAAGGTTTTGTTGTTGTTGTTTTTTTTTCAGAAAAAAAAACAAAACACAAAAGATATAACAGAGACAATTTGTTCCATACAAGTTCGAGATTTGTAGAGTAATCTATTTTAGGTGCCCCAATCTGAAATCATTCAGATTTTCTACTTCTAAGCAAAACACGTCCAAATTTTTAAATACAGAATAAAATTTACGCGTCAAACCTTTGGTCAAACTTGTGAATCAGTGTCCTTTCGATTTATTTGTAAAAAGGAAACAACTGTCAACGAAATATTTTTAAAATAAAACCGTGCAAATAAACTTCAAGCATAATACATAATACATATGATATTAATTAGAATTGTTTCGTGTTAGATAATGAAAATCCACTTACGTTATATTCTAATTTCAATGTTTCCAACTTGAATCCTGCGTATGACTTTGATAACGACAGAAATTTGTTGGACCCGGATGTTCAATTTTTTATCTTGAGGTGATTTAATTGACACCATTGCAGTATAAAATATTTCAGGTTATGATGAGTACGCTTATCATACTTGAATCAAAACAAAAACTGGTATTTTATAAAAACGCACAAATACGTGTAACCGAAACTAAAAGTTGAATCACACACAGCGACATAAAACAGAAATATCCACGTCCTTATTTAACTGCTTGGACAATTTGTTTTGCTTCTAAACTCAAAAGCATATCTTTTTATCATTATATTTTCTTCTTTCATTGAGATATCCATATGGTCTCATCCATAGTAAGAGAAGCTCCCTCGTTTGTAAGTGTCTCTTAATTTGCCAGATTTACTACCGAAAACTAGGCGTCACGAATCATATCTTAATTTGACAGTGAAATTTGTTTGCTTTAATCATTACATTTCAAAGCAATCATACTATTGTTTTGCTACAAATGTCACTTGTATTCGTAATAAATTATACATTTAATAGACTGAATTGTATTGTTAGTTTGTAATAATAGAAATATACACGCTGCTCTGATATTTATTCTGAAATTTCAACCGGTCTTAAAATGCAATCGCAAATAATAGCTTTTAACAATAATAATCCCTCATTGATTATAGCAGTTTTAAGTGTTGAAAGTTGAGTACTGCTCACCACTGAAGCTAGGGGTGTGAGGGATGTTGCACTTTTTTATTATCCCTCATGAACAGACTCAATCAAACCGAATCTGCCTTTTTCATTAAATTTTGTTGTGATTATAGCTTCTTGGAGTTTCTCTGAAAATTGTGCAATAATTTCAACGGAACCAAACTCGGAAGCGGAACGAATAATTTAGTGTAAAAACATTAATAAATATATAATAAGTTTGATACGATTTCAAAATTGCTGCGAGATGACGCTATCGTGGTTTTGTACTTATATATAATATCATCCGTTTGCATCATATGTTCGAAAATGAAATTCAAGTTTGCAGTGTTATTTTAAGGGGTAAAATAAAATTCATTTTGATTTACTGCACTGATAAAAATAAACGATCCTTTTTTGACCGACTACCAACTCTTGAGATAAAAACAATATGAATAATAAATACGATTACTGACAATTTTGTTCTTCTGCAAACATTTAGAGTTATCAGAAAGATGTTAAGGAAACGAAGCTATTCTATGACGCACTTTTTAAGAGTTTGGAAGTCGTGGAATTTAATTTAAATGTCACTTAAGCACAACAGTATTTTGTTGTCCCTTTCAATTTCACACTAAATTCCATTTTCAACTTGTTTGCTTCTTACAATTGTATAAAACTTCTTGCATGTAAACAAAGGAAGTATCCGCTGATTAACTACATGTAAAATGTGTACTACCTAATCGCTTGTCCGAAAGTCAGCACAGGTGATGAAGTGGTAATTTGGTAAAATCTACTTTTAGAATAGTGTTATCTATTATAATCTATCACAAATCATATTAGCTGATAGCAGGTTTACTCATATATTGACCTAGAAAATTATGTAATTAATGCGCGAGATATTCTAGACTTGCGCCGAGTCATGAAAAACGTTTGATCTGTTAATAAAAATGTTTTGTTTAATGGATAAATATTTATTTCCTACTTATATTTGTTATTGAGCTTACTCCTTAATTATACCATAATTTGCTGTCCTACTTTTGCGACAGCGGTAAATCGTTTCAACAGTTATTTGCATATTGCACAATAATACTACGGGGCTTCAGCGTTTTTATTAATCAAATACGTTCATTATTTTATCTTGGATAACTTAATTTGAAATTGAAAATGCTCAGTATGAAAGTTTTTAAGATATCCCGACAAGGTATGGGAGTTTCATAGGATCAAATTCATGTACTATTTCTTGGGCTGTTATTCGGTTGAGGACACTTGCTCGATTGTAGCGGACGAAATCCCATGTGTAGTTGACATAGCTCTGAACGCGACCGAGGGCGCGTCTGTCGCAAAAAGAGAAAAAAAAATTGTTAAAGATCCTGCATGTTGTACTTAAGGTTGTTTCTAAAACAATTTTCAAACATCGAACACATGTAAAATATGTACTGCAAATATGTGTCCACATTATATGTAATCATTAAAATATATTCATTTCGTATTGAAAAATTTGACTTAGACTATATAGAAAATAAATTTCTAATCAAAATGTAATTCATTTGAAAATAATGTGTAGAGATGAATACAACACACCAGAATATATATATTTATGCATCAAAGTACAGTACATAGATCTGTAACATGGAAAGGTATACAAAAGGATGTACTATAAATTGTTAATTAAGTCTTGTAGGATGATTCAATTAATTGACTTTGTATAGAGTTCAAGCTAGGTAATGTCTTTTATTAGATAGACTCAATGTTACTGTTTCAATATTCTATACTGCAGTCCATTTAACTGGTGTTGCAAAAAATTATTTCTTTATTACTCATTTATCAACTTGCCTAGCATAACACAGATTGAGCATCACATCTTCCTTGTCTTATTTATAACTTTGGAAGAAATAAGCCTTGGCGTGAGTCACTTGTTAGGGACATTGACCTTGGTCATGAGGTGACCTCAAAAACAATAGGATTCATCTTCTGACCAAGGTCAATGTCCCTAACAAGTGACTCACGCCAAGGCTAATTTCTTCCAAAGTTATTAATGATGACAGAAATGGATTATATTATTAAGCAATGAGTGGAAGGGCACCCGATGTCTTCCTCCACCAGTAAAGCTGGAACGTTTCGTTAAAAACATCCCGTACGAAAAAGATAGCAGGATTCCGCCTAATATAAGCAGGAAAACGCTTAAAATTTCCGTGTATATAAGATTTTCCTGCTAATTTAAGACGGACACGGAATTTTGTAAAAAATCCTGCTAAGCAATTTCATATTCCGCCTAAGGCTTAGGCGGAAAATATGGGATGAGCAATAATTTAGGCGGGTTTTAGGACTTAGAATTTTGTCAGTTATTTGTTAACAGGAATTATGTACTTAGACTTTTTTGTTAACCAGAAATTGAACTTAGAAATTTTTACTAGACAGATTTTCTGAATTAAGAGAAATTTCTGCAGAAGACAGGTAAATTATAAATCGAATAAGTGATCAACAAATATTTTGCTGCTTTTATTCATTGTTAATTTTCAAAACTAAAATATTGTTTGTACAAACATAAATATACATAATCATTAATTGATAAAAAAAAAACTCCACTACAAAACTAAAACTTAGAACATATATAATGATTTTGTGGTGACTTTTGCATAGAATATATTTCACTGTGTTAAATTTGGGTATGAACTAAACTCATATATTAAGCTTTTTAATGTAATATAATTAAATGAGTAATATCCCTGAAAATTTCTTATCAACAGGATAAATATATAAATACTGCCTCTTAGTAACCACTCTACTATGATTTAACACCACAGACCTGATAACACACAGATCATGCAGATAATGGTTTCCTATCGTAAATTCTGCTACAGTCCAGACTGTTCCATGTGATTTATTTGGGGGGAAGCAACAGTTACTTTGTACATTTTATATGAAGAGTCTGTTAAGAAGGACTTTGCAAAGTTTTTTTAAAAATATTTATTATGAATTTTGGATTCTTTTTCCATTTATTTTCTGGTATGTTTATATAATTGTGAAAATAAAACGATGGGTTGGATTGTCCCTGTTTACCATCATATCATGGACTTGTCCATAATTTGAAATCTAGTTAGGAAATATGGGTCAGCAGAAGCTGAGACAGTGGAAATAAAGCAAATAACAAAGGATTTTATTGATAGTTAAAAATTGTGGTGATAATATATAAGCAATTTTTGAGATAATATTTTGTTTAAAGTGTAAGGATTGAATATTTTTGATTTTTTCAAAGAAAAAAATTAAGACTTAGCATTGCGAATGAAAATGACAATAATCTGGATATGCTCAGTAATGTAAAGGAATTTTGAATGCTTTTAACATTATGAAGTTGGACAAGAAGATAAATACCAATATCATAAAAATTCAGGTAAGTAACTTTTGGATACATTTAAACAATAAAAATATATTTCAAATATATTAAATAATTTTGCATTAAGTTTGAGAGTAAATTTGTAACACTAAGGTTGGTTGTAAGTTTAAATGCATGTATAATTATAACTGCATACAATGACAAGAAACAATAATATAAGATATTAGTGGTGGCAGTGTTTTACTGATGACTGTTTGTGTTTCAGGATATGTCTCAAACTGGTGTAAAAAGAATGGGAGAGGAGGAGACAAGGATATTAACGATGCCGCATAACTCAAAGCAGATCAGTTATGCTTGGAATAAAAATGAAAACAACTGGCTGAACAGAAAACATTTACAGTGAAATAAAATGAAATAATTTGCCATGGATTAAAACAATACAATAGCAGTGCAATAAAAATATATCTCGTGTTTCTGTTTTTTTTGTGTGACTCTTTTACGTACTGTACATGCACCCTAATTTAGAAAAGATATGGTAAAGCTCACAAAGATAACTTAAAAGCTTTGTAATTGTGATCACCTATTGTCTGTCTGTACATTTTGGATTCCAATTATTCTTATGCAGCTAAATAATAATGTTGTATCCATCCATAATTCAGCTTTATTAGTGTACCATCACAAAATTGAATAACTTCATTTCCTTAGGCGGATTTTTTGCTAGTATTCCTTAGAAAGAATTTTCTCCTGCTAGTGATTTTTCTAAGTAGGTATTTTTTTCCTGGTTAAAATATTTTAGGCGGAATTTTTTCCGGCTAAGAATTTTCCTTAGGCGGAATTTTCTCCTGCTAGTGCTTTCCTTAAGCTGAATTTTTTCCTGGTTAAATTTTCCTAGGCGGATTTTTTTCCCTCTACCCTAACTGTTTTCCTCCTAAGAAAATTTGCATATTTCGCAGCGTATTCCTGCTTATAGGAGGAATCTGTGATATGCAACCCTGAAATGCCTTAGACGGATTACGCCTAGTAGCTAGGAGGAATTTCTGCTTTTTTCAGGGCGGAAGTTTTCGTACGGGATGTCAAATGAATGGTTAAGGTTTGTTTCATCATATAATATCCACAATATATGTTATTATAACTTCCAGGGTTTGTTCAAGACACATGACTAGTTATAAAAACACTCAGTGATTCTGACTGGGTCTTAATTTCGTTCAACATATATAGATATATTTACACTTTAAACCCAAAATATATAGAATTTAAACAGAAATTGATGCTGGGACTTTTAACAAATGTTATTTAAGCATGATTCGAGTGCTTCAGATAATTTTGATATTTTTGTCATTTATTTGCCTCGAGTATCCTTTGATTATTCCATATTTGGGCTTGTGACCTACATGTAGTTTTTGACCCCACACATTCTTACTTGAGCTGGAACTCATTCAAGTATTGACCCATAAGGGAATGAATAATATAGAACTTTTGTTTTGAGGACCACAAGGTGATGTTCCATGCCACATATCTACATTTTAACTCTTGACATTGTACACATGTACTTTCAGAGAAGATTTTCAACATGTTTACTACACAAGTCTATGTAACTTAGTGATCCCCAGGGTTGGGCCATTTTTAACTCTAGGAGATTGACTTATATAACTTTTGTCATGGTCTACTAGCCAATGCTACAAACCAAATATTTAAGCTCTTGACATGTAGATTCAATAAAGATGACTTAAATGTAGTTTCCTGTACAAGTCTTTATAAATAAAGTGATCTTTAGGGACTTAAATGTATTTTTCAAGTATATAAGCCTTTGTAACTAAGTGACTCCTAAGTGGGACCATTTTTTCACCACAGGGGAATGATTTATATACCTTTTGACTGTATAGGACCACAAAGAGATGCAACATGCCAAAATCTAGAATAATATAAGTTTAAAAAAAAATCATTTTTTAGACTTTTTATAGTTCCTGTGACCTATTTATGCATTAGACATGAAATATTTATAAAATTTTGTAGATGGCCACCTAAGGATCATTCAGGCAAAGATTGGTCAAAATCTATCAAGCCATTTAGGAGGTTAATGAGATGTTAAGAAATTGTGGACAACGACAAACAATGATGCCGGACAAACTGTCATCGCAAAAACTAACCTCTGATCACTTTGTGCTCACTTTATGTAAAAAGTACTAAACATATTTAACTTTATTGTTCATTTTAAGGTCCTTTATAAGGATAATTAATAAATTAATTTATTTCAACTAATTGCAGCAAAAAAAAAAGAGTTCACTACTTTCTTTTGAGATTCAATAACATGATGTCAGTTTTTACATTATGGAATGTTGTAGTTTTGTTTACATCACTTAATCCATTATTGTCAGAAGATCTTCCTCAAAGAGAGCTATAGTCAGCATAATCCCTGCTCCAGTACACATGCCTACGCCCTGTAGAAGAAGATGACATAATGGATGCTCTCCCTTCTTTGTGTCCACTGACGACAACTCTGGTAACTATAGAAATAAAGGATATTATTAAACCTTTGTGACTTCCTCCAAAGAAACAAGAGGGCCACGATGGCCCTGAAATCGCTCACCTGAATACAGAAATCTCCATGATAAAGAACAAGCAATATTGTAAACTATAAACAGAAGAAGTTAAAAAATCTAAATCTTAAACTGATGTCACAAAGTTCATAATTATTTGTATCTGAAATAGTGCATGTGTAAAAACAATACTGGTTGCCAATTTAGACCCCAGGGGTTTGATTTGAAGAAACTTGGTAGACACCCACTACACAATGTTTCATGCTAAATATCTAAGCTCTAGCTATTTCGGTTTTCTAAAAGAAGATTTTTTTTAGTTTTTATTATATATATAAATAAGGAAAATCAATGATCTCCCAGGGCTGGGCCAATTTTGACCCAAGGGCTTTTATTTCTTTTATTTGAACAAATTTTGTAGACACTCACTAGAAGATGTTTCATGCTTAATATCTAACTTCTACCTATTTGTATTATTTAAAAGAATATTTTTTCAGTTTTTATTACATACATATAAGAAAACCAATGGCCCCCGGGGGTGGGGCCAATTTTGACCCCAAGGCTTTTATTTGAACAAACTTGGTAGACATTTACTAGAAGATGTTTCATGCTTAATATATAAGTTGTAGCTATTGTGATTTTTAAATTTTTTATTATATACATGTACATATAAGGAAAACCAATGACCCCCGGGGTAAGGCCAATTTTGACCCCAAGGCTTTTATTTGAACAAACTTGATAAGACATTCACTAGAAGACGTTCCATGCCAAATATCTAGCTCTAGTTCTTTGGGTTTTTTTAAAGAGATTTTTAAAGTTTTTTTCTTTCGGTTGCCATGGCAACCAGTGTTCTGCATGGAATTAAATTCTTTAAACAATTTTTTTAACATTCCATTTCCTGTGAAGTTAGGATGAAATTGGCTTAGGGGTGAGGAGATGTCGTTTTAAGAAAAAGTTTACAGATGGATGAATTGTGATCACAAAAGCTCATCATGTCACTTTGTGACAGGTGAGCTTAAACTTATAGAAGAAATATTTAACATAAATAGCTGTCTTTTCATATATAGCATACTTTTAACACAATAAAACAAGTTCTTCTACATTAAATAACTTTGCAATGACAAGACATATCAATAAAGGTGATGGATGCCATACCTATCCTCAATGTCATCCCAGGTCACATAACCTAATGGCAAATATGCTAATTTTTCCCAATCTTTAAAAAACTATAAATATGTCCATAGGACACGGGTGCCCCCACACTCCACCAATTTGTCAATCTTATGTCCCTAGGTCAAATTTTTTTTTTTTGGCTACATGCGCCCAAGTTGAAAACTAAATATCTTGGAAAACACTACAAATACCGAAGAAAAAAAAAAGAAAACCCAAAGGTACATAAGTACACATGCTGACCAAGATTCCTGTAAACTGTCAGGCCTACAGGTCATAAACTTTTTGAGTTACGTGCAACACAAGTTAAACATTGAACATTTTTACCAAGTCAAGGGCAATAACTCTAAAAATACTAAAATTATCCACACCAAAATACCCAGGTGCACAACTTCACATGCTGAGCAACATTCCTGTAAGGTTTCATGACTATAGGTCAAATGCTTTTTAGTTACTTGCAACACAAGTTGAAAATTGGAAATTTTTACTAAAAAAAAAGGGCAATAACTCTACAAATACTAAATATATCAACACGAAAATACTCAGGTGCATAACTACACATGCTGAGCAACATTCCTGTAAGGTTTCTAGGTCAAATATTTTTTGAGGTATGTGCAACACAAGTTGAAAATTGTAAATTTTTACTAAGTCAAGGGCAATAACTCTAAAAACACTGAATATATCCACACGAAAATACTCAGGTGCACAACTACACATGCTGACCAACATTCTTGTAAGGTTTCAAGACTCTAAATCAAATACTTTTTAGTTATGTGCCACACAAGTTAAAAATTGTAAATTTTTACTAATATAAGGGCAATTACTCTAAAAATACTAAATATATCCACACAAAAATACTCAGGTGCACAACTACACATGCTGAGCAACATTCCTATAAGGTTTCATTACTCTAGGTCAAATATTTTTTGAGGTACATCCAACACAAGTTGAAAATTGTAAATTTTTACTAAGTCAAGGGCAATAACTCTAAAAATATCCACACAAAAATACCCAGGTGCACAACTACACATGCTGACCAACATTCTTGTAAGGTTTCAAGACTCTATATCAGATACTTTTTAGTTACGTACCACACAAGTTGAAAATTGTAAATTTTTACTAATTTAAGGGCAAAAACTCTAAAAATACTTAATACATGCACACAAAAATACCCAGGTGCACAACTACACATGCTGATCAACATTCCTGTAAGGTTTCATGACTCTAGGTCAAATATTTTTTGAGGTATGTGTGACAAAAGTTGAAAATTGCAAATTTTTACTAAATCAAGGGCAATTACTCTAAAAGTACTAAATATATCCACATGAAAATACCCATGTGCACAACTACACATGCTGATCAACATTCCTGTAAGGTTTCATGACTCTAGGTCAATTACTTTTTGAGCTATGTGCGAAACAAAAAGGGAACAGATGGACCGACGGAAGGCTAGATCGACAAGGTTAAATCTAAATGACCGCCCCATAGTTGGGGCACAAAAAGCCCTGGAGACCATATTTATAATCCCCTCTCTGCTACCTGGAAGGGGATTATAGGAATGGCCTCTGTCAGTCCATCCAAATATGAAAAAAAAATAACAATTTTATATATATATATATACCATTTATAGGCTTGCTAATGCTAAGGGAAAACAACAGTTCCAAAAGATGTCTACATATTAGGAAAATCAATGTCTCAGAGACCCCCCCCCCCCCCAAAAAAATTATTTGAACAAATTTGGTTGACTCTCACTAAAACACTAGAAGATGTTTTATGCTAAATATCTAAGCTCTAGCTCATTAGATTTTTCTAAAAAGATCTTTTTTTTTTACTTTTAACATATAAGTAAAATCAATGACCCCCTGGGGTAGGGCCAGTTTTGACCCCAGGGCTTTTATTTGAACAAACTTGATAGACACCCATTAGAAGATGTTTCATGCTATAAAATATCTAAGCTCTACCTCTTTGTTTTTTTTTAGTTACTGTGCAGGGATTGGTTTCAGAGGAGATGTGGTTTAAATTAATTGTTGATGATGCACGCTGCACAACAACGGACATGGGGGGATCACAATAGCTCACCAGGAGCATGATTTGCTCAGATATGCTAAAATTATTGTGTGGCATTTTCATATTATAAAGGGAAAGTAAAAATTCTGATACCATATCCACAAGAGCAATGTATAGGAACATTCCTCCAACCAAAGTGAATACCCATAGAGTGGCTCCTTCTTGGTTACCAACAGCCACACCAATCAACATACCAACAAAACACAAGATTGATGAGAGACAGTTGTAAATAATAGCTTGCTTTGGTGACATACCAGCTCTCAATAACATTGCAAAATCACCTGAAATAAAGACATTTCCTTAAAAGCTTGCACAAGACCATAATATGTTTTCTTAAAGGGACTCCACTGAGGTTTAAAAGTCTTAAAAACATAACATTTGAATTTCTTACATTAATCGGCTAAGGCATTTTAAACAGAAATATATTTAAAGATAGTTATGAAATATACTTTGAAATAAATTGAAAATCATATTTCTATGCTTTTCTTATCCCGATGTGAGTGAAAAGTGTTTAAACGCTTTTCATTTTGGCTCACTTTTTACAATTTGAATAATTATTCTGAAAAAAAACGAAGTGCGCAAATGATCTGAAATTTTGCACAAAGTAAGTGGTCTAAACCTACATCAAATGGTGCATTTATCTGGAAAAAATATTTTCAGTCCCATCATGTCAAAAAACCTCAGTGGAGTCCCTATAATAATTGAAACTCATTAAAGACATAAGTGTAATAATCAAAGTTTGTTTATGTTGTTCTTACAATTGTATGTATTTTTGAAACATTATTTATCACTTATCAGTTCTCACACAAAGATCTTTCTGTTGAGAAAACAAATTCACTTGTAAGTTCAGTAAACTTCTATATTCTACACTCTTTCCCACCTGCATAAGTGGAAACAAGCAATTATCATAGTAAAGCAAACAATCCATAAGTCCCCTACCAATTAGAACCCCAGCAACATTCTGAAGGGACATTGGTCATTGAATTATGTCATTAAATGAATGAATGACATGAATAAACTTAAATCATTTGAGTTCTTAGTTTGTCTGTATCAAAGTTATGTGTTAAGTTTCCCTAATTATGTTTATAGAACAGAAAATCAAAAGATCCAATTTTCTCAGAATGTATATGTATAGCTGATGTTTCAACTTTTCTTCATTTTCGGTAAATTTGTTGGAAGTGTTCCAATGTCTTTAAAAGTGATCTCAGGAAACAGTTTATAGAAATGGACAAACATACCAACTGACAGAGACTCTGAGGGTAAATCTTTAACATCCCTGGTTGTAACCAGAATATAACATTTTAAAAAAAGCAAAATTCCTAAACTAAGAGGAGATAACTCTTGAAACAAGCAAATTCGTTGAATTTATATCCACCGCCGAGTACTGGTTATTACTTACACAACAACTGAAGACATAAGGCTTTATTCATATATTAATCATGGCATAAACAGTAATATTCTTTGAACTTCTTAAATATTCAGGGCAATAACAGAGCCATAACTCTGTGTTTAATAGTAATATCTGGAAATGCCAATGAGATGTATGCATACTGCATAACTAATCAAGGGCCATAAATCTGAGTTATAAGTATCTGACTGGAACAAGGCGACTTTATGCACATCTCCTCTTAGTATCCCATATAGTTTCATTGAATTCCAGCCAGAAGTTACAGAGAAGTAGCACGGAAACAATTATTGCTCTGGTTGTATACTGCATAAGTTATCAAGGGCCATAACTCTATGTTAAAATGTCCTACCCAAACAAGGCGACAATATGCACATCTCCTCTTGTTATTGAAGGTTCCAATAAAATTTCAATGAATTCCAGCCAGTAGTTGCAGAGAAGTTACACGAGGAAACAAATATTTTTCTATATGCATACTGCATAACTAATCAAGGGCCATAACTCTGGGATAAAATATCTGACCCCAACAAGGCAATGATATGCACATCTTCTCTTGGTATTGAAGGTTCCCATAAAGTTTCAATGAATTCCAGCCAGTAGTTGCAGAGAAATAGCGCGGAAACGATTTTTTCTCTATAAGCATACTGCATAAATTATCAAGGGCAATAACTCTGAGTTAAAGTGTCTGACCGGAACAAGGCAACGATATTTGCATCTCCTCTTGATATTGATGATTCCCATAAAGTTTGGTTGAATTCCAGCCAGTAGTTGCAGAGAACTAGTCCGGAAATGAAATGCGGACGGACGGACAGACGCAAGGACGGACATTCTTACCAGAGCAATATTATGGGGTTTTCTTTTGTTATTTCTTTTGTTCTTTTTAACACCACAATGCAGAAAATAACCCCACAAGAGAAACTGAACGAATGACATCAAAGACATCTATTGTTATGAGAACAATAGACCAAACCCCATAATGTAGCTCTGGTTTGCACGGATGGACGGACGGACAACGTCAAAACTAAAACCCCCTCCCGATTCCATCTGCGGGAGATAATAAAGATGCTTGACTTATGAACATTGCCGTACATGATGTGAGTGTAACAAAGAACAATTATCTGAAGTTT